GTCATTCTTTTCCCAAATATGCTCATTGGCAGACAGTTTCTGTGTTTACATACTGTAGTTTTACAACCCAAACGCTTTGCGGAAGCTCTCGTTCCAAGTCCCATCTGCCTCTCACTCAGTTTTTTGGCGTGTAACAGTGGCTAACTCGGAGATATGTAGCGTAGCGTTGTGTACACCTCCGCCTGAGTGACGGATGTCAGAGGAGTCCCAGAATGCTTTTTCTGTCACACTGGATCTGGATCTCTCAATGCGTTTGAGTTTGTCATTCCAGTCGTGCTCTTGCTTCGCCCCGAGCGCAGTGGCTAATAACGCTCCTCACTCCAGGCTTGTTCAGTCAGAGCTACGCCGCTGCCATATGAACTTACATTAGCGCTGACACGCCGGCGTCTGTGTGATGCTGACAACATTTCAGGGTAACACTTTACAATACGGGTGCATTAATAAGCATTAATTCATGCACAAATAATACTGAACTAATGATTATTTAAGCTATTCATTAATGATTACCACATTGAGAACTGATTAAGAGTCTGTAGGTTTAATCTATTAGTTCATACATGAATTGTTATTAATTAAATATGTAATTGTGGGTTAATTCCATAATAACTCATTTTTTTACCTAATAGTGTTAATTAATATGTTAATTACCAGAATGAGGCAAAGCCTTGTATTTCAACTTCCAGATAATATGACAGGTACACTAATATGCATTAATACATGATTAATTACTTCATTGTTACTGCAAATTCATGTGCAAATTACTACAATTACTAAATGACTAGTTAAAAATGACGTGCCCCAACAAGTAAAGTCATAACATAATGATACCTTTGCAAATCATTAGCTAATGATTAATTAAAGCAGACAACTGGAAGTTGAAGTGCATAGCTTTGACTAATTGTGGTAATTAACACATTAATTTACACTATTAGTTAATAAAATATGTTATTAAGGAATTAATACACAATGACACATTGAATTAATAGTTTATCTATTAATTATATAGACTCTTTATTAGGTGCTGATGCAGTAATCATTAATTAATGGTTTAGTTCTTCATTAGTTATACATTAACTCATGATTATCAGTGCATTAGTTAAGCATGAATTAATGTATATTAGTGCACCCGTATTGTAAATGTTTAAATGCACACTAAAGCAAATGCAATATGCTTGTGTTTGTTGCTGCTCTTTTTCAAATGCAAAAGCTAAATTTCCTCTCCAGAAATGTTCAGTCTGTGTTTTCAAACCCATGCATTTGCATAATGCATCATCTGTCTATACAAACACATGCAGTTTTAAGGCATTAGAGTATATGCAAAAAGCTGCGCTACTGTCATTATGGTTGCTCTCTAATCACTGTATGAGCATAATCATAATAACATAATCACAAAATTCTGTTTACAAGAGCTTGCACTTAATCGCAGTACTGCTATAATCGCATTATGAACGCAGCTGTTATGTGTGTGACCAGCGCAATGCTTTTCTGATGCTGTTGTGTGTTTGTATGGAGAAAGCAGAACTAGATTTTTCTGGCTGCTGTACAGGTAGTATGGTTATATGCCAGTCTACCAAATTTGGTCACAATCAGACTGAGTCAGAAGTAATTTTGCCAAAGCTTCAAGCTCAAAATGGCCACATGATTTTAAGCATTTAAACCTGGATAAAAGATTGGAAATGCAAGAATACTTGCATTCATTTTCTTTGATGTGGCAACAGAAATGTTCCCTTTTGCTGTGTGCCCAGGTTAGAATTATTAGTATTATCTAGCCCTCGTGATCTGTTTTAAAGCAGCTCTACTTAATGTTTCTTTTATGCAATCCAAGTGAAGGATTTTGCATTATTCACCAGGGGTAGTTTCCTGACCTCACTGCGAGGAGTGTGTTACCGAGAAAATCCGATACAGTACGATGAGGCTGAGCACTTAATACAGCTGTGTGTGTGTGTTTGTGTTTTTATACACAAACAGAGCCCCGTTGCCATGGCAACAGCTCATCCGTCAGCCTCACGTGCGCTGTGCTGTCAGAAGGAGTTTTTGATGGGAAACATGTAAACACACACACGTCACTTCTAGGTTGACCCGGCTGCCAGTATCACGCATCCCGGTTTACTGCAAGTTTGTTTTTATACAATATGAGATCAAAAAAAAAAGTGGACAGATCATCTCCATCCAGACTGTCTTTTTAAATGTTTTTATTCATTACTAAAAAATAAATAATTCACAAATTTATTGCGAAAAAATTAATAAGTCAATAGTACTAATTTTGTTAGTTGTGTTTGCCAAGATGATTGCATTGTCCATGCTCTGAAAAAACGTGAATTATTTTAAAGCTATTTTAAATGATTATACTTTATCAGTATTTGTCTCTTATTATATATATATTTCAATTTTGTCAGATTTATTTATAAAAAATACCAATGTTATAGATAGATAGATAGATAGATAGATAGATAGATAGATAGATTGACAGACAGACAGACAGAGATGATAGATAGATAGATAGATAGATAGATAGATAGATAGATAGATAGATAGATAGATAGATAGATAGATAGATAGATAGATAGATAGATAGATAGATAGATAGATAGATAGATAGATAGATTGACAGACAGACAGACAGACAGACAGACAGAGATGATAGATAGATAGATAGATAGATAGATAGATAGATAGATAGATAGACAGACAGACAGAGATGATAGATAGATAGATAGATAGATAGATAGATAGATAGATAGATAGATAGATAGATAGATAGATAGATAGATAGATAGATAGATAGATAGATAGATAGACAGACAGACAGAGATGATAGATAGATATAGATAGAGATAGATAGATAGATAGATAGATAGATAGATAGATAGATAGATTGACAGACAGACAGACAGACAGAGATGATAGATAGATAGATAGATAGATAGATAGATAGATAGACAGACAGACAGACAGACAGACAGAGATGATAGATAGATAGATAGATAGATAGATAGATAGATAGATAGATAGATAGATAGATAGATAGATAGATAGATAGATAGATAGATAGATAGATAGATAGATAGATAGATAGATAGATAGATAGACAGACAGACAGAGATGATAGATAGATATAGATAGATAGATAGAGATAGATAGATAGATAGATAGATAGATAGATAGATAGATAGATAGATAGATAGATAGATAGATAGATAGATAGATAGATAGATAGATAGATAGATAGATAGGACACTTTTCTAACAGCTCAATAGGCTTGAATATGTAAATGTGGATGGCTGTATATTAATGTATTCGTGGAGGTGAGATCACATGATTATTTCAGAATAAATAATCAAACTTTGCTTGGGATAAACTGATTGAGCTATAGGCTTCTGCTGGCTCCTAAATGTGTTGTTTCGTGTCCAGCTACTTCAGCTAAAGCAAATGAAACACAAACTCTTGAAATAAATACATTTATACATTTTTCAATTCAGTTTGATGATTTTTTCAGGGTACAGAAATGACACACGTGAGCTTTAGAGAGCATTGAGGACTTATGTGGACTCTGAAATGAGGCACGTTCTGTTAGCATCTGAACATACGCTACAGCAGATGCTGCCTGTCGTGAAGATGCTCTGAGTTTTGAAGATCTCTCTCTCTCTCTTTCTCGAACAATGAACATCCACGGCCCAATATGAGCAGCCCTCAGGCCTAATGCAAGTCAGTCTCTCCTTCCTCCATTAGTTATTCTCTGTATGTGTCATTCCATCATCTGCTTTTGATGTCTCTCTCTCTCTCTCTGTCTCTCTGTCTTCAATGTGTGTGTGTGTGTGTGTGTGTGTGTGTGTGTGTGTGTGTGTGTGTGTGTGCGGTTTACTGAGGAAAGACTGTGAGATCACTCTTCTCTTGTCCTCTTTCTGTCTTTCGTCTGGTTTCTCCTGTACTTCTTATGACAGAAACAAACACATGCGTCACTTCTTGGTTAACCCAGCTGTTTCCTATACATTTGTTTTATATAAAATGCAGGTTTATGAGATTTCACAGATGATGCTGATTAAGACAGAGCAGATAATCTAAATTAAGACTGCCTTTTTAAAGGGCTTCTATTATGCTTTTGTACATGTTCATCTCTTTAGTGTGTAATATTGTTGTTTGAGCATGATAAATTGAGTTATTCTCTATATCATTGTCAGTGTTTCTGAACTCCATTGTAGTCTTGAGTTTCTTCTGGGAACGAACACGTCACAATATTCCTCATTATAATAATATATATGCAAAATAAAGGGGCGGGGCCTGGTTGAGTTAGTTAGTCGTGTGTTAAACTGGTGGTTATGGAAAGGGGCGGGACATTTCCCAAACACACTCGAAGCGCTTGACCAATCACAACACACTGATCCAGCCGACCAATCAGAGCACAGTGTGCTTTTCAGAAGGAGGGGCTTCATAGAGACAAGAGCGTTACTGACAGACTGGGAAGAGAGGAGCCGCAACAATGGAGAATATGAGAAACATTTAAGCATGAAAACCTATTAGAGCCCAAACACAAAATCAAGACTTTGTAAAAGGGTATAATAGGTCCCCTTTAAATATTTATTATTAAAATAATATTTTCTCAAATTATTTATGAAAATGGAAAAATGGAAAAGTCAATAATAGTAGTGAAAAATATGAATATGAAAGTGTGTGTGTGCGTGTGCTCTTCTCATGTCCTCTTTCTGTCTTTCACCTGGTTTCTCCTGTACTTCACATGACCTCCTTCTCTCTTGCCCTGGAAATCTCTCTCTTTCTCTGTGTCTCTCGCTCCCCTTATGTGTGTAGCAGTGCGGCGTCACTCTCTGCGTGCGTCAGTGTGCCTTACGTCAGCCCTGCATCGCGTCACCGGCGAGGTGCGGATGAGCTAACGGTGCTTTTTCTCTCTCTCTCTCCCCTCTTTGTCTCTTTCTCTCCCGATACCTGTGCATTTAACTCTATCTTTCCCTTACATTAACTTACCATCTCTCTCTCCTCTCGTCCAGTCTTCGGGCACCAGTGTGACGGTGGACATCGCGGTGATGGGTGAGGCCCACGGACTGATCTCAGATTTGCTGGCTGACCCGTCCCTCCCCCCCAACACCTGCAGCACCCTGCGGGCCGTCAGTAACCTGCTCAGCACCCAGCTCACCTTCCAGCCGCTGCACCACAGGCCGCGCCTGAGCCCCCTGCTGGCCTTCAGCGACGCACACACCTGCTCCGACTCCGAGGAGCTGCCCGAGAAGGGAGAGAAGCTGGCCATCCCGAAGGTAAGGCCACACCCTCTCAGGTACCAGGACCCTTCGCTAAGCCACGCCCTTAAAAATACAACTAACCAATCTGACCTTTGCAGCTATTGTAGCCCCGCCCACTTTTTTCAAATTCCATTCCTTTTTTGGTATCACTTATGTTAACAATCGTTTAACACAGTCATTAACATAAGTGGTACCAAATTTATTAATAATAAGCTTCTTCATCCCGCTCCTTTTCAAACAATTATTGTTATAATACTTTATGAATATTTTTTTTTTCGGTATGTTGCAACCATAGGCTACATATCTTTTTTGTTGTTCGGAATAAAAAACAAAAAATCTTAGTTCATGTTAATCTTAACATTTACTACTATATTTTTAAGATTTTAAGAAAGTTGTATCTGTTAACATTAGTTAACCTTATTAACAGCTAACGTGAATATTTTTATTAAATAACTTATTGAACATATTGCTCATTGTTAGTCTGTTAATGCATTAATTAATGTTCATTAACAAAACCTTATTGTGAAGTGTTACCAAGTCATGATTAAATGGAAGTACTGACATATTTTCTTCCATATTGTGCTGAACATGGCAATGTAAAAGAAGAATGCGGGGCGGGGACTTGATTCTATGCATCGGTTATTGATCAGGTGGATGAAATGTGGGCGTGGCACCCAAAAGTGGAGGGGTGGGGTTAAAGCTGACTAAATGATTGGAGAATAATTGGAATCGCGATATGGCTAATGTGATTTATATATTTATTTATTTTTTAAGCGCTGGACATTTCGAAGTAAGAACGTGGCACTGTTACAGTTTCTACAGGCTTGTGCTTTCAGAGCACTTCAACAAGCGCCATCTACTGTCAGAGAGTGAATTTGCTTTGTTTTTATTCAGCTGGTGGATCGAAAAGAAGCTGATGTGCGTTCGAAATATCTAAACAATTAGGATATACACTCCTGGGCAAAAAAATGGACCACACCCAAAATACTAATCTTTTAACAATGCTACATTTAAGCAAATGCACTACCTTTAAAGCGATTGCTGCCACAGAAAGACAGTTTTTGGCAGAATATGGGAAGTTGTGTGTGAATTGATGAATCACAATGAGTTGCATGTTGCATGGTGATGCTCCAGAGCGGTGGCTTCAAAAATGTTTGAAGGTTATTCCATGCTAAGTCTTCAATATTTGTGCAACTCTTGCTAATTTCATGACCAGTGATTTTTGTTAAGACCATTAAAAGACCACTAAATATTTTTCTTTTTGCTCAGGAGTGTATATATCATATTTGAAATGAATATAAATAGAATCATTAATAATTTTGACCTTTCCTTAAAAAAAATGGCTGAAATGTGAGGTTTACCATTTTATAAAACCTTTTGTTTTTGTCAAAACTTTGACTTTGTATTATTCATTTTGTTTGTGCAGGTTTAAAAAAAGGTCTTTGAAGCCTTAAATATCATTTTTAAACCATACAGATACCCTGCATTGATTAAACAAGGTTGATTTATATATATATATATATATAGATAGATAGATAGATAGATAGATAGATAGATAGATAGATAGATAGATAGATAGATAGATAGATAGATAGATGGATGGATGGATGGATGGATGGATGGATGGATGGATGGATGGATGGATGGATGGATGGATGGATGGATGGATGGATGGATGGATGGATGGATGGATGGATGGATAGATAGATTAGATAGATAGATAGATTAGATAGATAGATAGATAGATAGATAGATAGATAGATAGATAGATAGATAGATAGATAGATAGATAGATACTATAGATAGATAGATAGATACTATAGATAGATATAGATAGATAGATAGATAGATAGATAGATAGATAGATAGATAGATAGATAGATAGATAGATAGATAGATAGATAGATAGTATCTATCTATCTAGATATAGATAGATAGATAGATAGATACTATAGATAGATACTATAGATAGATAGATAGATAAATATAGATAGATAGATAGATAGATAGATAGATAGATAGATAGATAGATAGATAGATAGATAGATAGATAGATAGATACTATAGATAGATAGATAGATAGATAGATAGATAGATAGATAGATAGATAGATAGATAGATAGATAGATAGATAGATAGATAGATAGATAGATAGATAGATAGATACTATAGATAGATAGATGATAGATAGATAGATAGATAGATAGATAGATAGATAGATAGATAGATAGATAGATAGATAGATAGATAGATAGATAGATAGATAGTTTGCACAGACAACAAGCTTTGATGCAAAAATGTATTTGAAAAAAGTCACTATTTTATTTATGAACTACGGTACTCATCCCATGAATCATTTCAAATGATGTCACTGAATAATAAATGATGGTACAATATATGATACAATAGCCTATATTTAGTTTGAGAGTGTGTGGGAGCTGATTCTGATGTCACTTGCAACGCTTTCTCTATGGAGAAAATGAATGGAATCCTGTACTTCAGCTTTTGGCATTCTAGAATGGAATTATATGGTTTTAAATGGAACACACAGTATGCACAAATACATTGTCTAATCATTTCAGTATTGATAACTGACTCATAGAGCTGTGCCATAGTGAATGTGTTTGCCGTTCTGTTCACTAATGTAATCGCTTGTCACTTTTTTTTGATTCTTCAGTTTATAAGGACATAACTGGCAAATTTCTTTAATGTTGACTGAGTCGCATTTAAAACACTTTGACGTGCCACAATTAATTCCAGCCAGTATCCAGAGCCAGTTTCACCTATGGGACGCTCTGTAAAGCTTGTCCAGCGGGGAATGAGGCTTAGCGAAGGGTCGATTGGGCTTCTGTTTTTCTGAAGCAATGTTTTTACATTATTTCCTGCAGCGTAATTTCTGTTATCTCGGTGGAACCCGTGAAGACTTTCAGACAAAAGAACAAGATTCCATTGTGTTTAATGGTTTACCGCCACGGCTAATGCTCTGTGTTTTTCATCACACACACACACACGTCCCCATTCACACCAGCATGGCAGGCCTCTAATGTAGCGGACAATGACGCACATTCTCACAGAAGCCTTTTAATGTTTCACCAGCGCTGCAGTTAAAAATGCATGCCGGCACTTAAAGAGTAGGTGAGGCTAAAGTCACTATGGGCCGGTGCACAGCTCTCCTGCTCTTTTCCCATGCTGCAGTGCTCAGCAAACAACATTAGGAGATGTTTATTAACGCCCATTCATTACACCTGGTCCATATGTAGGTCACACCGCACTACGCTCCGATGGGGAGCAGAATTCAGAGCTCTATTATTTTTCCACAGCATATATAATGTGATATTTTGGCCATGTGAAGAAAAACACGAGCCAGTCTGGTTGTTTAAGCCGCGTTTTATCTGTCAGTGCTGCAGCTGTGTCAACAGCGGAAATATCGGCATGAAACGCAAGGAACGATTCCGCTTCCACCGATGGTGACACGATTCATGGAAGGTCACGGCGCGCGGCAGCTCCTCGGAGGAAATGCTTGTGGCCTGTCTGGGTGTCCAGTTTGGCATTAGCTTTGGCCTTGACAGGAAGCAGGGATTTTTCACATAAATCCCAAATCACTTTCCCTGTATATTTTACCTCAGAAAAGAAAAACACTTTTCCTAAGGTGACTGCAGCACTGCTGACTGAACGTCCATTTCTCTGAAGCCGGGAAACATGCAACGTAGTTAACCGGGGGTCAGAAACCTTTAACGCATTATACATGCATGAGCTCCCCATCTTACAAAGTACTATTAAGATTTAAAGGCTGATTCCTCCAGTATTTTCCTACTTTAGGATTTGGAGCGAGTGCATACTTGTGTCCCAGACGTTTAAAATGCTAATCTTTTCGAGAACTGACCGGTTTTGTTAGTTTTTATGAGGGATGATATATAGCTGAGCCCTAATGAAAACTTGATATTTTTCAGCATTTATAATGACATTTGATATATTACTGTATATTGATACTGTATATTACTGTAATTTCTCTGAAATGGCTTAAATGTTTTTCTTTACTTGATTACTAGAGGTAAATTGATGTTTAAATCTAATCATGTAAACGCAAGGACAAGGCATGTTTGATCATTTTGCATTATATACATTACGCAAATATAACAATATATAATTTTAAAAAATGCATTATTACATACAGTAGGAGTTTTTTGTTTAATATTCAAGAAAAATGCTAAATGTATTTCAGGAGCAATTTCACATCTCTTCTAATCACTGGTATTTTGCTGTAAATGATAAAATGATAACCATTGAGAACATTTATTCTGTGACTTGTTGAGGGTGTGATTTGAACTCCCTGTAGGAATCTGGTTTGCACAAAAATGCTTAAATGGTTGCTGGAAATTTTGCACGCACTGTTTTAATGAAAGGTTGTGAGATTGTGTGGGTTGTTGCTTTGCTGTTTAAACAAGTAAAGAATTATGATTTTATTTTGCATATTTGCACTATTTATTGTGCATTCCACTAGAGACATTACATTTTTTTTTAAACCATTTTGCAATATGGGAAAGAACTGGATGGTAAATGGCTCTTTTTCATAGTAAAATTTAGGGCTGTCAAACGATTAATCGCGATTAATCGCATCCAACATAAAAGTTTGAGTTTACATAATATATGTGGGTGCATGTGTATAATTATTTTATATATATAAATACACACACATGCTTGTATATAAGAAATATTTTCGTGCATATTCTGTGTATAGATTTATATATAATTTATATTATATATAAATATAAATATTTTATATAAAAATGATATTTTTTTCTTAAATATACATGCATGTGTTTGTATTTATATATATAAAATAATTATACACAGTGCACACACATATATTATGTAAACACAAACTTTTATTTTGGATGCGATTAATCGTTTGACAACCCTATTAAACCTGTAGCTGTAGTTTTGTCCTTTTTTATTTATTTTTTTATTTTTGCTGCTAAATAAGTTTAGTGTTTTAATCTTCCCTCATAAAATCTAAAATACAAAACAAATATACAGTTCTGCCACTACTGTAGCTCAATACCTTAACCAAATGTCCTTTAATATCCAGACATGTTTCGTGAGATTGCCTCGTGTAGGTCAGTGTAGACTGCGTCTCAGCGCTGTCAGCTGGAGGAGATCGAACGAGACTCGGCTCACAGACGCAGAAGAGTTGAACCTCTGCAACACTGACAGTCTGTCTGTGTGAGCAAAGATGCCACGTCCCGAGCACCTTCTCCGACATCAGGCCTACATCCACTCAAACATGTTCCTCCCAACTTCAGCTGACAGCCATTCCAGCTGAATTAATACCAGACGCTCGTATCACTGAGATGTTTTCGTGTTTGTGGCCATGGATTGTTGAATCGGCTAAAAATAAACGTAATCCGTGACTGCTGAACCCGGCTCTTGCCCCGTTAGCCTGTAATGGGAAAGTGGTGGTACCCCAGAATGCCCAGGGCATGTACTCTTAAGCGGCAGCACTGGGGGCGGTAGGAGGATTGGGGTTGGGGGTGAACGGATATGCCCTCTGGTTCTCTACTCACAGCATCTGAAATATTCATGCTGCTGTCAAGAGAGTTTCTCTGCCCTGACTCATGGGGTAACGCAGTTCTGAAACTTTTTGTCCACCATTGTACAATTTTTATACAGTCAAAAACATAGTCAATAATAAAACTCATTAATACTCACAACGCCAATTTTATTAGATTATATTTTTTATGCTTTAAAATAGCTTGAATATTTTTTTTTATTGACAAATAAATCCAAGTACAAAATACAGAATATAACAGGAATGCTTCACATGACAGATATCACATATTTTGACAGATATCACATATATTGAAACATGTTTAAACAAATAGCTAAACAGGGATAAAAAAAAACAAAGGAGAGGAAGAAAAAACTAACAAATAAAAACTAAATAAATATACATTAAAAAAAAAGCTCAATATTTCTTTCTTTTCCTATAGACACTTTTAATGTTCATATAATTTGGTAAACTAAGTAGGGGCAAATAGCTTGAATATAACTTGCTTCATTTAGCATACGCGGATTCATGAATATGCAAATGAGCCCCGCCTCCACTCAGCTCGGGTTACCTGATCAACTCGCTCGACTTCAGTAAACAGTTTGTTTGAACCAGAGGAAGAGCGAATTATACAGGCAGGCCTGACAAACAAAAGCAGTTGATGCTATAATATTATCTGGATGTGGTAAACGTATATTTTGTTTAACATGAGCCATGTAGCCAATCACAGACATGCATGGATGGAATTTGCATAATGGAACTGTCTTTGCATGCTTTCTAGGCTATTCTGTTCAGAATTTGAATAAAAGTTGACCCATAATGGAAATTGAAATGATTAGCCTTTGGCTTGACTACGTAATCAAAATGCTAATATTGTGACACAAACCATGTTCCTGTTCGCCATCTCAGAGTCAGACAGCGGCCTTTTAAAAATCAGCATCCTTACCAATAATGATAGGAACAGCACATTGGTCACATGTTTGAGATGGTAGGAATCTTCTTAATTTATGCATTGTTTGTCTAATTAAAAACACCACATTGCATATAAACAACATTAAGAACTTGATTTACACCACAGGGGGACTTAAAATTGACTTTACTTGATCAATGCAGTGCACATACTTAACTGTTCAGTCTTGCCGCAGCTGTGAAGCGTTTATATTAAATGTGCTGTTATACCAGATGTGTTATTCAGACTGTAAACCCCTCGTTCTCCTTTCTTTTTTTTGAGAAAATGATGCCAGAATGTTCACGGTCCCTTTAAGTGCATTTGTCTAGTCTGTTTTATACCAAATACACCTCGCTTTTTGATTGGCTCACAGCTTGTGATGTAAAGCAGCAGAGCGATGATGCATTTCTCCAGGGTCTCCCATCTGTTCTGTTCCCTTCTTCCCAGTTGGGGGAAGGGCTCAGTATTCCCTGACGGACCGCTGTCATCTGCCGCCCTCAGATGTTTGGCTCGACTCGCTCTCTAAATAAACACACGCACTCATACCGTACACTGAGATTTACATCATTTACGTAAAACGCAGTCCAACTTTAATCTAAACAAGTGTTTTGTTTAACAACTGCACTGCCAAAAAGTGTTAATTTGGCCTTTGGGTTGTCACACACATGTGGTTTTATTCTGTCTGGGTCAGTGTTAATTGAGTGTAACTGTTGATGTGACATTTGACAAGCTTCAGAACTGACCTCCGCGGAGAATTTGTGTCTCTAAGTGTTTTGCTCCACTGTCAGATCTGTTTTAGTCTAAACTTGATGTATGTCCTCTTTTGAATCACAGCGTTTGAGGCGAAGTTTGCATCCGGGGCTTTTGAGACGGATTTCTTCCACGTGGACCACCACGACCTCTGCCACGGGCCTGCCGACGCTCGAACCCGGGCCGGTCCGACGAGACCGCAGTGCCAGCATCAAAACGCCTCACGATGGCCCTTCCAGCAGGTAATGAACACCTCCATTCTGATCCAGATGCAATGCACTCTGCCATCTGTGTCATTTAGTTCATCAAACTGACTTACAGCACACTTCATATCATTCAATCCTCGTTCAGTCATGACTTTCCTTTTGGCTGAGCGCTGCAATGTAACTTAGGTCAACCTTTAAGTTTGCATCACCTATAGTTCCCTCAACAACAACAAACACAATAGGGTTTTTCCATTGCTTTTTGAAAATAAGCTCTGTGATCAACAAATCTTTACGACTCTTCCACGTTTTGTTTATCATGATAATCACAAATTAACAACTTAAAGGGATAGTTCACTTTGAAATTAATTTTTGATATGTTTTAGCTTACCTCAAGGGCATCCAAGATGTAGGTGTCTTTGTTTCCGCAGTATTTTCAATTTTGACATTTTTTAGTCCAACCGTTGTTGTCTATCAGTCATACACTGGAGGCTAAGGGGGTCCACCAAAAAGCATGCACAGAGAAGTCAAAATTAAACATGATTTAATGACTCGTAAATGTAAGTACACATTGATGGCCTAAGACACGAAACGAGCGGTTTGTGTGAGAAAACGAACAGTATTTATATCGTTTTACCTCTTGTAATCATAGCCATGACAAAATGATCTGACAGCACGGGCGCTTCGGTCTGGAAGTGATCGCTTGCGCGCCGACGTCACTCTTTGTTTATACAGAGATTTCGGAAGTTTTACCTTTCACTAAACATATTTAGATATATGGGAAACCGCAATGGAAGACGATTTCGGTATATCTAAATATGTTTAGTAAAAGGTAAAACTTCCGAAATCTCCGCGTAAATATTGAGTGACGTCACACGCAAGCGATCACTTCCGGCGTAACATTGAACTGATTCAGTTCGGTTCAGTTGGACATAGAACAACTGATTCAGATCACTTGGATTACACGAGGTAAAAACGATATAAATACCGTTCGTTTTCTCACAAAAATTGCTCGTTTCGTGTCTTAGGCCATCAATGTGTACTTACATTTACGAGTCATTAAATCATGTTTAATTTTGACTTCTCTGTGCATGCTTTTTGGTGGACCCCCTTAGCCTCCAGTGTATGACTGATAGACAACAACGGTTGGACTAAAAAATGTCAAAATTGAAAATACTGCGGAAACAAAGACACCTACATCTTGGATGCCCTTGAGGTAAGCTAAAACATATCAAAAATTAATTTCAAAGTGAACTATCCCTTTAAAGGTACAATATGCAAGATTGTTTCGCCACCAGGAGTCGCTAACCCTTTTACAGTAACAAAGGCGTATATTAATGACGTATATTCTGCATTAAGCGGAATTATGGATCTTGTCGTCAAGCTGATGGATCTTTTATGGATGAGTGAATACATTGATGTTTTTAACATGACTGTAGTACGAAGCAGGGCACGATTGCTAGACGTATACCAGCGAGTCCCGCGGATATAAAGGAATAAGGACATTTAATTCTACCGAACTACACGCTGAATTACTCACACAGGTCAGTTTATTAGAGGAATTAAACTTGTGATGTAACGCAGTGCTGTTTCACTTGCTCTAACAGTTTCACTATCACACTAAACGGCATTTGAGTGTATTGAATATTAGTTGGTTATATGTGTTGGCTATAGACGAATCCGGCGAAACTACCGGAAGTAAGCGGGGCGCCATTACTGAGCTGTTGCTGGGTAGAGTTGCGCCATTGCCTCCTATTGTTTTAGTTGCAACTTGCGTCCACTGGAATAAACAGCCCGCGATTTACGACTGTCACTAACGTTACAACGTTACCCCTTGTATAATGTCGAGTGGGTAAACAGTTTGCGTTATAAATTGTTTCAATGGTGGCAGTAAAATTTTAGTTTTGAAGAGAAAACATTGTGAATACCCCGGGTCGACTGCCCCTGTCTGGTGCCGTACGGTTTACAGATTTCCTGGACGAGTACAAGACGTGGACATTCGCGTATAATAACAATTATTTAATGACATGAGTAAAAAAAATATAATAAATATGTGATATAGTGATCAGCAAAATCTCCTCTCTTGCTATTTTTTCTATTCAATTAACATGCTATGGTCATTAAATGGCTTTCCTGAGCTAAATGTAACGTTATGTGACATAATTGTTTTCCTGCTGTTATATTGACCTCTTTCCATGGTTTAAAAACACTAATTGGTCGATATTATGTATACTTTCTAGCTGTAACGTTACCTTACCCTTGCCTGTTGCAATGTGAAAATGAGATAAATAATGGACACAAATGAAAAACATGAATTTGTTTATTTGATTTCATTCATTTATTTATTTATTTATTGTTGCCAAATGGACAGATCTTTTTATAGTTTCCTCGTTAGCAAACGTTAGCCTAGCTAGCTTGCCAAGTTATTTTCATAAATAACGTTAATCTGTAAGATCGTTTGTACCTTCATCTGTGACTGGAGGCCACTGCAGTCACAGATCAAACCAACAAGTCATTCAGCCTGGCTGTAGCTGTCATCGAGGGTGAGTTCGCGTTATCACCGAGGTTTGTTTACATACCTGTGCATATGTCTATATGCCTGTGTAACAGCTCAGTAATGGCGTCGCCACAAGATGGCAGCCTACACAGAACGCTCGTCGGATTCGTCTATAGAATAACATACAGGTCATATTCTTACTTTTCATCATGTTGAACTATATAACATTGATTAGTTTTATATACATTAATTTGCTCACCTGTTTGCTCAAGTAGCATTCAACACTCACATCTGTCAAGTCGAAGTTAGTTGCGGACATGGAGTTCTCGGCATCTGGAAAGATGTCGATCTTCGTTTTAGTCCTCTTTTTGTTTTAAAGTCTGCTTGCCGTGGTCCATAATGTTTGAACAAAACCCTGCTAGGGACGCTCACGCTGTTGAGCACGCATAACGGGCGTAAGTTATAACCGACCCAGTTGTCCACGTCTGTCGCCATGGTTACTATTGCAGTACGAGGTCAAACCTGGCGGATCAAGACGCGGATATGACGTCATCGACTGGCGACTCCTCGCCCCTGCTCACACGCCCCGTTTCCTTGGTTAAAAATCGCAATTTTCTCACGATTTACAAATAGTTGGAAACATTTGGGATATTGTAAGTAATTAACTAAACAAAATATGTAACATTGGCCTAGTGGTTTTGGGATATTTTACTGCAAAAATCCTGCATATTGTACCTTTAAGTTAAAAGCACAAGCTGAATGATCATATCTTTTTACATGATTATATCATTTTACATATAGTTTACATCACAGTTACATTTGAGCAGTTAATGTATTCTAACTTAAACAACTGTGATTGGCCACTCACTGCGTTCAAGAAATCAACACATATGTCTGTGATTAACTGCATTGTTCGACACTGCCAAACATATTGAAAATACAGCAGAAACATTTGATGCTCCCCAGAGTGCAAACACAAATATGCACTGGAGCATTTACCAAATTTGTTTTGCCAATATCAGATGGGGCCCCCAGATTCCCCCGGGGTCCTAAGCAGTCGCTTACCTTGCTTATTGGTTAAGTTTGCGCCTGCTTTTAGACTTTCTAAAGTTTTGCCAATAGTAAACTCAGTAATTTAATGCCTCTTATCATTAATGCAATAAAAGTAACAGCACAATGATGTTATGCTCTGTTCTAGTGTGTAACGCACACGTTTCATAATGCAATCATTTGCTTATAGATAAGATCAAGTCCCACCCTACATTCTTTTTTCATTGATTTTTTTTTTTCAACCAGAAATATGTCATATTGTGAAAGTAAAATGCCGTTTCATGTTGATAAAGTGCTTTGATAACAGTGGGGATTATAGTTTAAATTTTTGTACATCCTTTTGGTGAGCAGCCCAAACTTGTATTTGGACAAGACTGCATAAATCATATTATATTATCAAAATATTATCAAAAATGCTGGCGCTGGCTGGCAACCTTTTAAAAAAACGCTGGCGGGGAAAGTGTTAATCAGCCGTTGGGGATTTTTAGTGGATGTATGAAGTCAATTGTCCTCAAGTTCAAGCAGTGTGTCCTAACAGAGAAACCACGTGTAAAGATCACATTAGCTACAGTACATGTGCCAATAACGATTCACAAACACAAAAGTGTCCAAATACTTAATTAAGAGGCCGTTATTTATTGTTTTATTACCTCAAACCTAACAAACACTGACATTTTTGTTTGAGCAGTATGCTTGTGCTTTCGTAATCTACTGCAAAACTTGTCCAAATACTTCTCAGGTCCGCTGACCGCTGACTCATGAAGTGTTTTGAAGTGCTTTCTGAAAATATGAGTCCACAGAGGGTTTGAAACCCCTTTTATCCGTTTGCCCTCATCTTGTTTTGTTTGTCATCATTGTCTCGTACGTTAGTGTTTCGCACAGCTGTTGCGGATCGCCGTCAAGCGCTTGAACTTTCCAGAGCTCTTACACACTGCCTCGCTCCGTCTGAATGTTTGATTCAGATTTCATAATGTCCATCTTTGGGCATTTCTCCACCTTTATATCTCTTATTTCAGCTTGAGTTACAGTATACAGCCCAGCTAAAGTTCAGCCCATTAATACGGATATCCAGATAGCCATCTGCACTGTGTAGACAGAGAGTTTAAAGAGGCTTCCTGGAGACATGAGAGCCAGGGATGTGTTTAGATTCAGATCCTGTCGAAGTAAAAGCCCCTGTAAAAAATGGAGGGTCACCCGGTTGCCTGCATTACCATGTTGAGGCTGGTCTTAAAGTGGCAGGTCTCCTTAATGGATATCTGAAGAGTGTTTCCACAGCAGGAGGCCTGTTCGCTTGGATCCTGTAAAGATGGCTGGAAAATTCAAGTCTGAACCCTTCTCCCAAAATTCACCACATGGACTTTTTAATAACCCTTGAAAGTGCATTGCGAACTTTCCCTTTTGAGAGCTAAACGGTTATGCTGACCCTTGAATTAAAGGGTTAGTTCACTCAAAATCAGTATTTACTCACCCTTATGTTGTTCCAACCCCGTAAGACCTTCGTTCATCTTCAGAACACAAATTAAGATATTTAAAGTCCCCATGAAATCAAAATTGACCATACTTACTTTGTTTGCCTAAATTGATCGTTTTGTGGTGAACAATTCATACATGCAAGTCAATCCACACAAAAAAAAATTTTTGGCTTCGTAATCTTTAATCAAATTTTGAAAATGCCCCTCCCCTCTGCATAGGAGGACCTTGCCCGATGACGTAGGCTTTATGGTTTGGGTGTCTCCTTAACATCCATAACCACGCCCCTCCAACTGACAGCTGCTGTGTGTTTGCCAGCGCCGAGCGAGCATTGATTGACAGCGTGTGTAAACTTGCGTCATCCTCCATTTCAGAATGAAACACCCATTTTTCTAGATCCAATCAGGTGCTAGTTGGAAAAAAAGCCACGCCCACTATTTTGCCTCATTTAGTATTCCGTTTCTCTCAGAAATACGTCACAACACTGGAGAAAAGTCGTTTGCAACTTCCGGTTCACGGGGACTTTAAGATATTAAGATCGCTCCTGCTAGTCCATAGGCTTCTTGAGGGAATGACTCTTGTTGGCATCGAAAAGTCATTAAAGACATCGTTAAAATAGTCCAAGTGACTACAGGGGCTCAATCTTAAGTTTATCAAACGACGAGAACACTTTTGTGCGCAAAAACAAACAAAAATAACGACTTTATTTCAACTATTCACTTCCTTCTCCATGGGCCTGTAGTCAGTTAACGTAGTGTGATTGCGTAAAGCTACGTCACACGTAGGCTCACTATTGGCCGACGCTGGTCATGTGTGTGATGCGTGTGACGTACAATAACAGAAGCTTACGCTATTAAACTAGTAACCTGACTCGAGGTAGAGGGAGAAATAAACCAATAGTTGAAATAAAGTCGTTATTTTTGTTGTTTTTTGCGCACAAAAGTGTTCTCGTCGTTTGATAAACTTAAGAATGAGCCCCTGTAGTCATTTGGACTATTTTAACGATGTCTTTAATGACTTTTCGATGCCAGCAAGTGTCATTCCCTCAAGAAGCCTATGGACTAGTATGCAGGAGCGATCTTAATATCTTAAATATCTTAATTTGTGTTGCGAAGATGAACGAAGGTCTTACGGGGTTGAAACAACATGAGGGTGAGTAAATACTGACAGAATTTTCATTTTTGGGTGAACTAACCCTTTAAGGTGGACACACTGGTTGCGTTTACATGAACCCAAATAATCTGTTAGTAATCGGATTTCATGCAAACAGATTTTTGGTGTAAGAATTTTTACTGGAAAACCATGTTTTACCCTCGGAAATTAGATGATTCATCTCAAGGCCTTTAAAAAAAATCCCAGTGAGTGAAACAACATACCAGGTAAAACCATGAAATTTTCCTCTTCCTCTTCTGTAGTTTGGTGAACAGTGACTCATGGAACAACTCCGTTATGCTCACCATTTCCAAGAGCAGATCCATGTCCGCTTCATACGCTGCCTCCAACCACATCTATAGCAAGAGCCGAAGAGGTAAAGCACTCTATGTGTGTTTGTCAAGTGAAAGGAGATAAATGGGCTTTGGCAGTGCCAGTGTGATGCCTCTGCTCTCTGACAGGTTACCTTTCTTCCAACATCTCACCTTTGGCCTCACCCTGCCACTCTCCTCCAGTCCAGGGCACTCCGCTCAACAGTCCCACCAACAAAAGCCCTTCAGTGGAGCTGCCTGACCCCGATCTTCCACAGGCCGACGGCCCACCGCCACACAGCCCTCACAAAGCCTTAACCCACAGTCAGAGCGCCCCGAGCCCCAGTACCACACACTGGGTGCCTCCTCCACTTTGCAGCAGGTAAAACTAAAGACTTAGTCCCCTTGTTGCCGATAATTACATCCCTTAAAACTCATCTTTGATCACCAAAATGACATATTTAAAGGAGTAGTTCACTTTTCAAAAAACTTTTGCTGATAATTTACTCACCCCCATGTCATCCAAGATGTCTTCAGTCGAAAAGAAATGAAGGTTTTTGATGAAAACATTCCAGGATTTTTCTCCATATAATGGACTTCAATGGGGACCAAACGGTTCAAGATCAGTGCAAACTGCAAACTGTTCAAAGGGCTTTAAACGATTCCAGACGATGAAAAAGGGTCTTATCAAGTGAAACGATCGCTCATTTAATAAATAAATAACTAAGTTTTATAAGCTTAAATGGTCGTCTTGCTCTGTTCTGTGATGCGCGTTCGTGACTCTCCTGTTCGAACTCGTTCATCAAAATGAACTAATCTTTTTCCGAGTCATTTGGTTCATTCAACGAATGAAACAAACGAATTGACTTGTAAAAAAGATTCGTTCATTTTGATGAATCGCATCCAAAATAAAAGTTTATACACAGTACACAAACATATATTTATGTAAACACAAACTTTTATTTTGGATCCGATTAATCGCGATTAATCGTTGCCCAGCCTTACATGTTTGGAACAGCTTGAGGTTGAGTAAATGATGACTATTCATTTTTGGCTAACGGGAGTGTGTGAAACGCCCATGTCATGTTGTTTGAGTAGTTCAGTGATAATCCACATGAGTTGTAAGAGCCTCTTATTAAAAAGTGACCAAAACAATGTTTTGGGGAATTTTGCTTATGCAGATTCCATGCACATCTACTAATGAGTAATTTTAACAGCAGATATCAAGTTATTCATTTTGAGCACAATTCATCACTGCGCTAAAAAGCGCATGCTTGCTGTTTCCAAAGACCTGAGCATATCCTGTGGCCCAGGATGTGGTTACTGAACAACCACTGATCATTAACTGTGAAGAATAACCAACGCTGTGTCTAAATATTAACAGATGGACATATATGGTCAGATGTGCTGTTTTACTCACAGCGATCGCTGATGTCCTGGCGCTGAGACAAGGTCACCGTCCCCTTGGCCTGTAATGAATGCTGGTCACAAAAGCAGAGCTTGATTTGGTTCTGTCTGGCACGTTAATTTAAAGAGCTAAACTAAACAACAGTGACAACGGCTACAGCTCCTGACACACCAATTTCATTGCAAAATATTCAAATATGCATACACTATCATACAGCATAAAATACATAAAGTGTAACGTGCCTACAATGATTTTATTTATTTTATTGTTCTTAAGGAATGTTCTGAGTCAACTTGAAATGGCATTTTTGTTTTTTATCGTAATCTGACTTATTTCAGTAAAGCGGGAAAAGAGTAGAATGTGATTTGATTTTAATTTGGGAATTGATTCAATTGTGAAAATGATGAAAGATTTGAGGATTTATATTTATTTTGGATTAACATTAACAGACGAATAATCCACAGTTAAAAATATGGTTGGTTTAACTTAAAAAATGAAGTAATCTGGTTGCCTTAAAATTTTAGGTTCATTGAATTGGAAAAAATTGAGTTAATACATTGGAAATTGGAAGGAAAATTGATTTAATCATCAGAATTCAAAATATTAGCAATTATTTAAGTTGATTTGACAAAAGAAAAAATGTTGTGATTACAAATCATGAAAATGTTTTATTTACAGTGAGCGTGTAGTGAGGACTTAAAACGGTTTATTACTGTATTTGCTTTTGTACCATTATTATAGTTATTTATTATCATTATTGTTGTTGTTGTTAAAATGCAATACAAAAGCAAATAAAGGTAAAAAACTTGTATACGTGAAGTGTATAACATATATATATATATATATATATATATACACTGTAAAAAATATTGTTGGTTTAACTTAAAAATGAATTAACCTGGTTGCCTTAACATTTTAAGTTCATTGAAATGGAAAAAATGAGTTAATACAATGAAGGAGATTAATTTAATCACCAGAAACTCAAAATATTATGTTATCTGAACTACATAAATTATTTAAGTTGATTTGACAAAAGAAAAAATGTTGTGATAACAAATCATGAAAATGTTTTTTTACAGTGATTGCAAACTATTTTAATGTTAAACGGGTTATTAAAAATGTTCTCTAGTGAAAAAGGATGTTTAGGTGTTTAATTAACAAAATCTAATAAAAACAAGTAAATTCAGATTAAATGAATCCATAAAATGATTCTATGATGATTCTATATATGAATCGCCTCATTAATCTTCTCTCTCTCTCTCTCTATATATATATATATACATATATGCTCTCTTTTTTAATGTGAAAGAGTGACAGTGATGACAGTGATGTGAATGGTGTGTTGTGTGTGTTATAGCTGTGGAAGACCGTACAGTAAGAGGCACGGGGACGGATCCACAGACGCAGGAGACCGAAGCCAGCAGTCAGGTGACGCCACCGTCATGTCCGACCCTCTCTGAATTACCATTTAGATGCATTTCACTTATTATCCATTCTGCAGTTGTGATGATCTGTGATATTACAGCTCGATCCTGGATTTGTATTTGGTCTCTTTCTGAGCTGTCAGTCTGCTCAAACGTGAAATATTACGAGAGGCATAATCACGCTTTTCCAATGACCTTTCAGACGAACCGGTGATAATGTCATCCGACTATGACAGCACCTATGAGACCAACCACAGTGACAGCAGTGACTTTGCACACAATGAGGAAGACGGAGAGGGTCACCGAAACCCCTGCGGGACGTTCCCGCCTCAGGCACTCGCTCTTATACCGCCAGAGGTAAACAGGCCTTCTGCAGGACAAATTGATTTTTAGCTCTGCAGTTTAGTTCAGCCAGGTAGATGCTGTTCAGGACCGTATAGCAGGGCACATACAGTGTAAAGTGTTGCATCAGCAGCATGCATAAAATATGCAGTTCACATAGAATATGCACTGCAAGAAATGATTTTTCCAGTCTTAAACATCATTAAATCAAGATTTACAAAAAAAAAATGAGTTTATACAATTTTCTGACCCCACTGGCAGATATTTTTGCTTATTTTAAGCATAAGCACACTTAATTTTAACGCTTTTAAAGGAACACATTTTTATTGTTTTATAAGAAAATATCGTAAATGTGTCTTGATTTAAGAATTTGTAGATATTTGCAATGGAAAACAAGACAAAAATCATTTATTTGCAGTGTGCAGAAAGTGTATAAAGCACATAAAAACACGGCGATGGCATAAATAAATTAGTGTGCAGTACTCTGGGCTGTTTGTTTGATCCAGGGAAACCAAACCTGCCATCAAATTGTCATCCAAACTAATCAGCGAGCGTTTGATGTGCGAGTGATTTGTTTTTTTGCTGTGGTTTGATGACAGACTCTCTTTCCGTTATGCCATTTTAACTACTCTTTTTAGTAGTTTCAGATGTGCCACTTTTTAGTAAGACATGTTCAGTGTTTTTTTTTAAGATGGCACCGTTTGTGATCTGAATCATTTCCTCTGCAGGATAAGCCCATCTTGGCCCCAGAGCCCCTGGTAATGGAGGGACTGGAGCCTCTCATGTGTCAGATCAACAACTGGAACTTCCCCATCTTCAGTCTGGTGGAGAAAACCCACGGCAGATGTGGCTGCATTCTCAGCCAGGTGAGACACTGACATCTAGTGGAGATCCAGAGTACAGGCACACAAGCCAGTTTTACACACTTTCAAAACTGCACACGGTTCACAGGAAGAATTGGTAATGTGGAAGCTGTCATGCGGACCGAACTCCAGATCACCTGTTGGAGGTTGTCTGAGTTCAGGTGGCGCTGGAACTTCGGCTTGATTCGCATGAATTTGAAAACAACTCAGCAACAACTGGGCCAGGATTATTGGCTGATAATTGGGCTTTTTTTATTTTTTATAATGAGTGTCAGAAGCTTTTTTCTGCCATGGATAAAAAAATAAAATATAACCTTTTCCTCAGAAATAAGATCTAAACTTATTTCATATATATATATATATATATATATATATATAGTATATAAAAAGTATATATGAAGAGTTCAGATGCAAAAGCCTCTAAATGCCATTTGAAATTTTCTTCTTTAATGATGATTTTTATCAAACTTGTATATTTAAGTTCAGTAATTTCACTTAAATAACAATTAATAGGTATTTATCATTGCCATATAAGTGAAATTACTGAACTTAAATATACAAGTTTGATAAAAATCATCATTAAAGAAGAAAATTTCAAATGGCATTTAGAGGCTTTTGCATCTGAACTCTTCATATATATATATATATATATACTGTATATGAAAGGGCTGTGCAAAGATTAATTGCGATTAATCGCATCCAAAATAAAAGTTTGTGTTTACATAATATATTTTTGTGGTGTGTATAATTATTTTGTTTATATAAATACACACACATGCATGTATATATTTAAGAATATTTTAAGTGTTATTGATAAATAAAATATACAAATTCATTTAATATAGTTATATATCTACTGTATTTACTTGCAAATAATTCTTAAATATATACATGCATGCATGCATATTTATTTATTTATACAAAATAACATGATTAAACATGATTAATCTTTGCACAGCCCTAATATATATATATATATATATATATATATATATTTTTTTTTTTTATTATTATTTTTTTTTTTAATGAACTTGTGATCTGTGTGTTTTTAAGACTGTGTTTTAAATGTCTGTATATTTATTCTGGTTGAGCCAAAGACAATTTTCCACCCTGGTGGACAATAAAGATATTATTATATATATATATATATATATATATATATATATATATGCATACACACGGAAGTGTGTGACATAAGTATGTGCATAATTCTGAGAAATTGCAGTATTATTGTTTTAAATCTTTTGTTTAGTTTAATACTAAGGTTGAGAGATTTTGCCGTTGTTCTCTGTGGTTTAGGTGTCCTACCGGTTGTTTGTCGATACGGGACTCTTTGAGACATTCAAGATTCCGGTGCGGGAGTTCATGAACTATTTCCACGCTCTGGAGAACGGATACAGGGACATCCCATGTGAGTCCTTGTGCTGCAAGAGACATGTGTACAGAAATATGTTAACAATGAGATAAGTTATGATGTACTACAGATGTTGTGCGTAGTCATCTTCACCTCCAGAGGAATACACTGATTTAAATCATCAGTTGTGGCACATTGTACTTTTGTGTGTGTTGCATCTCCCCCTAGTGGTGGTTTACAGTATTAAACCTCGTCTTCCTCCCCAGATCACAACCGGATCCATGCAACAGACGTCCTCCATGCGGTGTGGTACCTCACTACTCAGCCTGTGCCTGGTTTACCTACACTGCGATCACTTAGTGACTCGGGTGAGTTTGGAAAAGTTACATTGGAAATATGTAACTTTTAATAATAATTAACTATAATAATAATAATAATAATAAAAGATATGTAACTTGTAATAATAATAATAATTATTATTATTATTATTATTATTATTACATTGGAAATAATTTCATGCTTGTCATTGAAAAGTAGATGTATACGTAATATTATGCAGGCTAGACCTGTGTTTTTTCATATGCTTATATATTAATGTTTTATATGTTTAAGGGGGAGACTGGAGAGTTTTGAACAATGTCAGTTTGACAATTCACAAAAGAGCAGTGGTGATGTCATCAATTTCATGCACTCCCATCACCCTTTTGAGCTCACCAAAAAGAAGAAGGAGCGCATTTTTGAGCTTTTGGGCAACATTTTAAGATTTTAAATTTAAGAATTTTACTAAAGAAAGTAATTTTTTTTTATCAAGGTCATTTTTTGCCTGTTGATACAATTATTTGACTTGCACAACTGGTACCTATATGTAACAGTGTGGTCCTGTGAAGAACGACATGTCTCTGCAGTCAGTGGAGCGACAATAAAGCTCACTTGACTTGACTTAAAAATGCCTCCCACACGCATACAGTTGTGGTCAGAATTAATGGCAAAAGTGCCGGTAAAAATAAATCTGTAATAAATCATCGTTTATTCTTTTGATCTTTCATTAAAAAAACTTTTCATTGAAGTGAAAGAATAGAAAGTGGGGGGAAATCCCATTTTTCTATAAAACACGTCGGCCACAGTTATTGCCACCCCTAGAATTTTTTTATGAGTAAACTATCTCTGACGTATATTCCCATTAATATTTACCTTATTTTAGCACACCAAGGTGACTAGGAACATGGAGTTTTCTAGCCATGAAAAATATATCGAACAACTCCTACATCACCACATGTCGTTTGGGAGGGTTTCAAGAAAATCCTCCACGCTCCTCCAAAAATAAACTCCAGCATATTCAATGTTCAGACACAACTGATCTTCAAAAGGGACTGGATCCTATGGTCAGATGAGATGAAAAAAGGGCTTTTCGGCAGCAAAGCAAACCCACAGATGTGTGTGGTGCAAACAGGGATGTACTGTAAGTACCCCATGCCCACGGTTTAATACACTGCTGGATCTTACTGTATGTGTTGTGGGCCTGCTGGAGGTCCTGGACATCTTGTTCAGATGCATGCTATTATGGATTTTAGCAGACACCAAAAGATAAAAAATCTAAACCTGGCAACCTCTGCTAAATCTTGTAATGGGCCGTGGTTGGATCATTAAACAAACATCAAAATCAACACAAAAATGGGTCACTGAGCACAAAATGAAGCTTCCTGAACCCAGAACTGAAGAGAAGAAGCACTAACATGAACTTCTGGAGAGAGTCTGTGTGGAGCAGTGGTCTCTGATCTCAGGTCAGGTGTTCTCCAAACTCATCAGGCATTATAGGAGAAAACTCAGAGCTGATGTTGGCAAAAGGAGATTGCAAAAAGTATTTAATAACAGGGAGCAAATAATTATGGCCAGCGTGTTTTAGAGAAAAGCATTTATTTCATAATGTGATTTCCCCCATATTAAATTCATTTACTTCAATGAAAAGTACTTCAAATTTTTATTGAATGAAAGATCAAAAGCATAAACAATGCAGATTCATTTTTTACAGCCATTTTTGATCATGTTTACCAGGGGTGCCATTCATTTTGACCACCACTATATATATATATATATATATGTTTCCATTCGCAAGCTCTTAACTCGATTCGACTGATTGAAATATAGATTTAATACAAATCCTTTATTTATAAAAAAAAGAAGTGGTTATAAAATAAAAATAAATTAAGAGCCACAAACCTGAATATTAAACTCTTTTTATTTTAGGTACACTTGGGTACATTAAAACCCAACTTCAAATGCTAATTTGGCCGTCAAATGCCCAATGTCTACAATGAATAGATAGGATTTTGATGCAAGATGCAAAATTGATGCTGAAAATTGACAATCAGAATCAGGTTATTTTATCTTTTAAGATAAAACTAACAAAAAATCTTACACTGTAACATGGAGGCTATAAACAATGTAGGAAAACTAATACTGAATTTTGGGTGATTGATAAATAAATAAATATGGAAAAAAAAATCTGTTTGAGAATCGATTTTGAATCGACCACATTTTTCATATACTGTATATATACGTATATATATATGTGTGTGTGTGTGTGTGTGTGTGTGTGTGTGTGTGTGTTTTCTCATTTAATTAACACATTTTATCAGGTTCATGCGTTCCCTGCGAATCAAATACCACACTCTTCTGTTTTTAGCTACTGTAGGAACAAATGTGATTTTTCTTGGGCTTTTTCAAATAAAACAAGTTGAGGTATTATTTACACGTACTCTCAGAAATGTCTCGCCCTCATTTGCATGTACATATTTACTACGTACAGTGTGAACTAATCTGCAGACATCTTTCCGACTCTCTATGTACAGACTCTGACAGTGGACTCGCTCTTGGCCGCTCAAAGCACCTGATGTCCAGGACGTATCCCGTAGAGGAGGAGGGTTACGGGTGTCTGTCCGGCCTCATCCCCGCGCTCGAGCTGATGGCGCTCTACGTCGCCGCTGCCATGCATGATTACGACCATCCTGGCAGGACCAATGCGTTCCTGGTGGCCACCAGCGCTCCACAGGTATACACACCATCATCCCACAACACCATTTCATTTAAGAGTTTCAATGGAAAAGTCATTTCCTTGTATTGTAATTATGTGCTTTATTAAGAATCATAGCCGGTATATAGAGGTAGAATAAATTACTAAAAGGGTTCTTCAATACGATAATAATAAGGGTTTCAAAATGTTTTATATAATCAGAACAAGAATCGAACAATACTGTAGTTTACATTATATTTAAAAAATAAATCATTTTGTCTGATAAATATCTTTTTATCTTTATATCTCTCATATTTGAAATGTTTAAATATATATATATTAGGGCTTTCAAGCAATTAATCGCATCCAAAATAAAAGTTTGTGTTTACATAATATATGTGGGTGCACTGTGTATAATTATTTTATATATATAAATACACACACATGCTTGTATATATTTAAGAAATATTTTCATGTATATACTGTATATAGATTTATATATCATTTATATTATATATAAATATAAATATTTTATATATAAATAATATTTGTTTCTTAAATATATACAAGCATGTGTGTGTATTTTTATATATACAAAATAGTTATACACAGTGCACCCACATACTGTATATTATGTAAACACAAACTTTTATTTTAGATGCGATTAATCGCTTGAAAGCCCTAATATATATATATATATATACACACACACACATTTTCATATTTTGCTGGTTTAAGTGAACTTGTAGGGTCACTAAAAAAAATATACATTCTGGACATCACTTTTTGTCCACTTGAGTGTGTGTGTGTTTGTCTGTTTGTGTATATGTGTGTGTTAATATGTGGTTCCTGTTTACCATGTGGTCTGCTAATTTTGCATGCTGTTTTATGTTACTATTGCTCATATTCAAGCTTAATAATTTAATGTCTGATGAAAAAGTTCAAAAAGGCTGCAAATATTTGACTGTTTCAGTAATATTTTTTTTTATTTAGATGGAATATTCCATGTTATCCTGTAGAAGCATTATGATATTTATGAACATTAATATCCGAAGTGGTTGTTTTGAATTGTAGCCTGCAAGTTCAGGGATTGGTCACGATGTTCTGGAGCCTTGAAACATTTGAAGTGCCATAAACGTCTTGTGTGTGTGTTTCAAGGCCGTGCTTTACAACGACCGCTCTGTGCTGGAGAACCATCACGCAGCTTCTGCCTGGAATCTCTTCATGTCGAGGCCCGAGTACAACTTTCTGGCCAGTCTGGACCACATGGATTTCAAACGCTTCCGCTTCCTCGTCATCGAGGCCATACTGGCCACGGACCTTAAGAAACACTTTGACTTTCTGGCTGAATTCAACGCCAAGGTGAGCACTTCCTGTACACTAGATACATGTAGGCCAACTATTGCTGTGCATTGTATTTATTGATTTATGTTTGCTCAGGTGGGGGATGACGGTTGCTCTGGGATTGAATGGTCTAACGAGAATGATCGTCTGCTGGTGTGTCAAATGTGTATTAAGTTAGCGGATATAAACGGTCCGTTGAAATGCAAGGAGCTTCATTTGCAGTGGACGGAAGGCATTGTCAACGAGTTCTACGAACAGGTCAGTGTCTGCTTTGTTTTTGATGTGTGTAAGTCATTTTTTTAGCTATTCAGTGCCAATAGTAAGCATAAGCATAGTGAGAGGCTCTGATATTGCCCATGTGTACTGTAAGTACTTGGCGACGTCTCAGTATCATTCACATCGAGTGGCTGGAGAGGATGGCAAGGATGCGATGTTGCCTGGCAACCATCTACATCCTCCCCAAGCAGTGCTGAAGGCAACACGTTCACAGCTGTAATGAGAATGGCAGAACGTAAGCAAAATTGCACATCTGCTGAGAACATTTTCTGGTAAAACACACCATGCGTTGATGATAGACATCATCAGCCAGACTAAATCAACCTTAAAGTCAGATTAGCATTGCAATTAGCATGTTGCTAGCATGAATTAGCACAGTTTAGCTCGCTGCTAGCATGAATTAGCAAATTGCTTTTACGTTTTGGCATACTGTTAGCCAGGAGTGTTTATAGGGACTTTCCCATAAAAATCGGGGTCCCATAGGGACTTTTAAAAAGTCTGTGTTAAAAAGCCATGAACTAACATATATGACATATAATATATGTAGAGAGAAATCCTATACATATATAAAGAATATATTTTAAGTTTATTGCAAATTCAAACATTCAAGTGTTTTGAGAGCGTAGAGACTCGATTACATCATTCGCAGTTCTTCATGGGAATGGAAGGAGCCAACAAGATCTTTTGGTGCTGTTGCTTTTTTCGACTCTCTGATTGGTGGAATTTTCTGCACAGCATCATGGGTAATGTAGTTTTTCACCAGGAATTACGATTTATTTATTTTTTAAATAAGCTGAAATAATGCAGGCTGACTGCTTCAACAGAAGCAAATACTATCAATGAACAACCTCGTAGCTCACAGTTGGGCTTTCTTAAAAGGTTTATAAGATATCATTCGAAACCAGTTTCCCTGTGGAGAAAATAAATGGAGTTCTTACTTCCGGAAGCGGTTGTTGCGCTTTATATTGGTTGACCATTACGGTGCATCATGTGTGCTTGTTTACTCTGTCTGGATCTTCTGATCATGCTCTCGGAGAGTTAAGGGCTTGTTTGGATGCCAGCGATGAGTGTCTATTATTGTGAGGATGACCCAGTTGTGTCGGGACCCTGTCACAGAGCTACAAAGCGTCATATGACCACCCTTGGCCACATTCAGAGCATTTCAAAAGGGGCCAGAAATGATTTGCTTCAAAGGAGCCTGTTTTTCCCCCCTCCCTGTTTCGTTTCTTGAATGATTCATTTCTCCAGCACTTCTGAGTAGCACCTGACAGAACACAGCGCACATACATCACTGCCCTGTGACGTCATCGACGGCACGGTTGCCATGGCAACGCGAGACCTTCCCTGTTGTTGTTCCGCTCTCATTGTTTATCTCCAGGTTCTGTGAAGCATGTGATCTCACGCGGACTATATGATGCTCCTCTAATCGCTGATTACTTGCTTATTTCAGCACTGCAATCTGAAATAAATAATAAAAAAAAGCCCAGAGCTCTCGTGCCTGGGTGTGTTTCCCCCGTCCATGGGAAGGTTGACCTAGTTTTATCTGTAGAAGGTCTGTGAAGTATGTTTCTTTCCTGAACTGGAAAAATCCAATTAAGTGTGTGACTCCTCGGCTGTGCTTGAATGTACTGAGCATATACTGTTACTTGTTTAATGCAATAGATGGTAGGGATGAGTATAAAGTAACTGCTCAGGAGCGCTGCATAATTTGAACAAAAATGCAAATTAGCCATCAATCAGATGTGGAGCATTTCTGAATCGTCATGAAATGTATACTGTATTTGCACATCACTGATTGCATTTATTTTAGATTTGATAGCACTGACATGATGCAGCTTTCATATGCTCATCATAATGCTTTCTGGTGACATCAGTTCCCATGATGCTTTTCATTCACCATAGGAGGTGCAGATGAACAACAATATTATTTCAGAGGTTTTTCAATTATAGGAATCAAGGATTTTAAATATTTTTAAAATAACTTGAAACATCATTTGCAAACCCATACTTCACTAATGTAGACAGACCTTGATTTTTTATTAGAAATTATTTATTGGCCATTGATAAAAATGGATCTTTGAGTTTGCAGCATAATAATAATTATATATATATATATTAGTGCTGTCAATCATTTAAAAAAATGAATATATATTTTTATATTGTAATAATTTCACATTTAATCTGCAAAATGAACATAGAAAGAATATAAAGACAGTAGCCTATATTTTAAATATTATTAATGGCATCTTTTTATGAAAGAAGGCCATCATGATAACAATAGTGCTACTGGTGTCTCTATGAAATTTTTTCATCTCAATTTTAGACATTTATTAAATCCATTTAGCAATACAGTATAATTGAAAGCTATCAGTACTTTTAACAATTATTGGGCTTTAAAGAAATAGAACAACTTTCAATTTAAGTTTTCATATAAATGCATTATAATAAATTTCACATTTACTTGCCCATCAATATATCAGTGCTTAATTTTTAATGTTATTCTAGACGGATGACGTGAAAACGGATGCTGCGTTAAATATTTTTAACGTATTAAACTGAAAAAATGCGTTAATGCGTTCATTTTGACAGCACTAGTAAAATGTGTATTCTCTTCATTCTGGTGTTTCAGGGTGATGAAGAGTCCAGCTTGGGCCTTCCCATTAGCCCCTTCATGGACCGCTCAGCACCCCAGTTGGCCAAACTACAGGAGTCCTTCATCACACACATCGTCGGGCCTCTCTGCAACTCTTATGACTCGGCTGCCCTCATGCCTGGACACTGGGTCAACAAAGAGGGCGAGGATCCTGAGGAAGAGACGGAGACAGATGAGGAGGATGAGGAAGACACACCGGAGGAAGACGCCTCCTCCAGCTCAGAAATTTCCCGTTAGTTCATTTTATTTATTTTTTTCCCTCATACTTTGCAGATCAAGTGCAATATCAGATTGAAATAAGGCTACATTCACACGGTCAGCTATTGGGATTAACAACCGCATTTACTTACAGTTGTGAGTTAACTCAAACAGCCACTTACTTAGCTTTTTACACTTTATGAAATGACACACTAGTTGTCCAGTTCGTTTCCATTCACATAGTTCAGGTTTTCCGAGAATATGGTAGTGAGTCCTTAAAATTTTGCATATAGAATGCAGTGTGTGAATGTAACCATATTAATAAGGACTCAAATACAGGACTGACAACCGTATTCTGCTGCTGTGTGAACATGGCCTAGCTAATAACCATATTTAATGAAAATTATGATCACAGTCTGATTGCCCAGTCAGTAGAACTATGTGTAGAACTAATGTAAGTGTAACTAAACTGAAAACTGGATTTAAAAACTGTTGTGACAAACAAGATTGGAAACACTAATTTATACATATATAAAAATATGAGATGCCTTTGCATTTATTTAATTCATTTCTTTATTATTTTATAAATATTAAATATTAGTGTTTATTTAAGCAGACATTTTATTTTTTATGCAACATTTCTCTACAAAAATAGAATTCACATATATTATTATTTTTATAAAACGATACAATATATTTTTGCTTTTTTTATTTAATAATCATCACTTAAAGCTTCTAGCATGAAAACCCATTAACACTCTGTTTATTTACTATTTGTTTAGAGAAAGACGCACCCAAGAAACGCCGGAAAGTGTTCTGCCCGATCACCCAGCACCTGCTGGAGAACCATGAGATGTGGAAGAAGGTGATTGCAGAAGAGTCCCAGAGCCAGACAGAAGAGGAGGAGTCCACATGCCTCAGCAACACCCCTGAGTCAATCCTAGCCATTGATGAAGAGGAGGAGGAGCCTGGCAGCAAGGAGGAGCCAACAGATGACCAGGAGGAGGAGTCAGCAGAGGAGGAGGAGAGTCCTGTACCTGAAGAGACACATGAAACAGAGGAAACAGATGGTGCGACTGTAGCGGAAGCAGACGGGACTGCAAAGCGAGACACAACAACTGTAGAAGACGAGACTGAAGACGAGAAAGACAAGGATCCAGAATGAATGACTTGCCTGTTTTAGAGGAGAACATTGTCTGAAAGCTTTTATAGGCAAGCGAGACTTCTAAGAAATGGTTGCCAGCACATCACTTAGACACAACACTGTAGATGCTTGGGGAACATGTGCCTAAAGGAAACAGGGTGGGATGGGGTGGGAAGGGACAAAGGGTTTGATTAACAATGAGTGGGCGGTGAACACACTCCAGTGAGGTTTGATGCTAAAATTGACTGGGACATTGGGGGGAGGGGGGTTTCCTATGTTTTCTAGACATCATGTTGGTCAGTTTTGCAACCCCTCCAGCTGCACCTTAACCCCCCAAACTACGACAGTGACCTGGAGCGACACTTCGTCTCACGAGAATTTCTGAGGACCTTAGTGTCAAAGTCGGGAAAGAACTCTCACCATTGCGCCTCACTCACGAATCCCATCATCCGCAGTGGACGACAGCAAACGTCCCAGAAACAGCGTTACAAGAGACTCCGCGTCGTTAACACCAAATGTGTGCTCTTTCTTTTCCTCTCCAGAGGTCCTTGCACCATTGTCCTTGTCCCATTTCTGAATGCCCGCCATTCTCTTCCCTCACCTTTTTCCCTCGGCATTTCATTAGTCCATGAACTGAGATCTTGCATTTCTCAGGATCAGACTGTTTTTGGATAACGGTACGAGGAGTCATTGGTTTTTACGGACTTTCTTGCAACTTTTTAATCTTTTGAATCTTGATTTGTGAGGACAAAGGGAATCTTTAGTTGTTTTTTAAAGTGTAATTTCTTCTAAACGTCAATGGCCTTTTTAACAATAGCCCAATTGTTGTTTTACCAGGTGATTTGATATATATATATATATATACACACACACATACAGTGCCCTCATCCACACGGCATGCACGTCATTCCTCTCGTTTTGATTTACCCCAACAAATGTTTGTGCCGTCCCTACTTCTTTTTCTGCATTTAAGCTTCTTAGTAAACTGCTCCAGCAAGGTTTGAGAGCAGACTAAACTGCTCTGGCAAGTTTCACTGATCAAAGGCGCATGGCCCGTCGAGAGAGCCCCGGGGTCCCGCATTCCCCCGCAGTCGCATGGTCTCCCTTCAAACAAGACCGTAGTTATGCTTCGCAGTCGTGTCACGCAGCCGCCACGGATGTGCAGGCAGGCATGTGAGCGACAGTGAGCTCCTCGGCCCAAGGGACGAGACGCCGAGCGCCATCCCTCTCACATGAGCGGACCCAGAGACCATGTGCGGCACATGAGATACGGGCACCGGTCGACACGGCTGTCCGCGCTCGCCTTTGATGTGCCGGAAGAGGCAGATTGCTTGTGACGGCGAGATGAAACACTTCTGTGGGCCTAATCACCTCGAGTCCGATGTTTAATCAGGCCGGGTCCGATGCCTTCAGTCACTTTGAAGGAGAGCCAATTAAAAACGCCTAGGTAGGAGGTGACGGTCATGTGCTTTAGACCCATCTTTGAAACGTCCCCTTTGATCGAAATGCAGAGTAAGCCTTAATATTATCAGGCAACGTGGTGCAATGTAGTTCAGCAACTTATTTAAGCAATACTATGTGTACAGTAGATTGGTAGCGTTTCCAATTGCACTTTCTTTTTGTTGCTGTGTAACTATCACACAGCTCAAGCGTGTGTGTGTGTGTGTGTGTGTGTGCCAAATATGACTTCAAATGCATTCTCCTCAAAGTATGAAACACCATTTTTTGTGTTCAAGCTGCTCTTTGGAGGGCCACTGTCCTGTAGAGTTTAGCTCACTAATCTAATATTTCTAATAATATGCCTAGTAAGACCTTAGCTGTGTATGAAATCGCCACTATACCCTCAGTCACTATTCACTAGTCCATTTGAACGAGTGAATGAATGGTTGGGTCGGAAGCGCTGCTGCTTTTGCATAGTTTGTGCTTGCTGTTTAAACTGGCGGCTCCAGTAGTGATGAAAATATTCATCATAGAAACTAAACCCTAATTAAACAACTTAATAATCAATTATAAAGTCATTGAAACCTGTATGATATTACGCTGTAGCCACATTGGACCTGCGGTTTAGATAAGGAATGGATGATTCAGCGCGTGAATTAATTCACCGCATCCCTTACAGTGCATTATGGATTGAATGAGTGCTCTCGATAACGTCCACCATGGTTTCGGACACCACTAAAATGAACCGTCCTCTGAAATAGTGCTCTGTTTAAGGGTATATGGGGCGATTTTGGACACAACCCTTGATTATCTGGTTCAGGAGTGTTTAATCCGCCTTATTCACAGCAGCGCCATCTTTGATTTTTAATGAGAATGAAAGCGAGGCTGTGAGGGATAGACATGCATCGCTTCAATGGGCTGTACTGTTATTTAATGTGTTTTCGGATTGTTCTGCTCATGAAACACTGGAAAAATTTCTTTCCAAGAAATGTCAGATGACTCCCGACAAAATTGTAAGTAATCTAGCAGCTTTATTCAGCTTTTTACAGCGGATGCCATTGGAAACACGGTAAGTCTATCCCTCACAGCCTCACTTTCATACCTGTCATGGCGCTGCTCTGAATAAGGTCTATAGCGTTGAACTAAACTCAGCAGGACAGTGGACTTGAACTTTTCTCAGTGGCTGGAAGAGCATGTGAAGGCTTGTGAGGATGTGTGTGGAGGGTATTATAATTCTGCATTAGGCCCTAGATTTGTAACGTCAGGCCAGAGATATTAACCCTTTGGTGCATGAATTATTAAATCACAAATAGTAATCTTAATGTTTTTATTACCTTTAAAAAAAAAAATATATATATATATATATATATATAATTATTTTTTTCCTAAAATAACGCATTTTGAGAGCGTTACTGTCCACTGCAATAAAAGATAGTAGTTGTTACTTGCTGCATCACTTTTGTTTGCCATTTTGAATTTATCATAATTAAACATATACTGTAAAAAGGATCGTCACAATAAATTATGGCTAAGTGTCAAAGGTCTTCACCTTAAAAATGGCTTTTAAAGATCTGTGCACTGTTCTGGACGTCATGCATCAAAGTGTTACATTCCCAGCTAACAAAAATAAGTTCTAAGAACATTTTGCTACATTCTTAAAACATTATTTCTGTTCAAAACGGTTAGACGAACATTCCATTTGGTCGTTTTGCAAACGTTACTTTTGAAGGGACATTCTGAAACAAGTAACATTTAAAAACATATCAGGGAAAACGTTCCATGAACAATGTTTAAATAATCATTTTTTGTGACCAAAACAAGCACTCTATTGACATTACTGGAAGAACCGTTTGTTCATAACTTTGAGAGAACCTTGCCAGATCGTTTTGAGTTAGCTGGGATATTTCCCAAAATAAATGTAACGGAAAATATCATAACCTACAATCAATTCCTGAGGAACAAAATCCCCCTAAAAACATTATTTCCCAGATTAACTAATACGTGACATTGAAGAATTTATAATGCAATATGGCTCCGCTCTTCAACTTACCGTTGGGTGATGGGAGGCCCACTCTGTCTAAAGAACGTACGTCATTATCAAGTGATTAGCATAATAGCAGTGGGCACATGTTGGGAATTGCCTTGCTGCGAGGCTTTGACGATCAAAGGTCATAGATATTGATGTCTCAAAGTGTTTCAAACCCAGAATCATCAAAGTCAGGTCCATTATTTCAGATTTGCTTCCACCCAGACAGTATTCAGAGAGACTTAACAAAAACTGTGGAATTAGCGACCCTACACATTTGATGTGCTTTTGATCGCCCGTGTGTGTTAGCATGGCAAGCCCTGTCCTACACCGGTTTTCAGCTCTGATCTGCGTTTGGTGGCTCTGATTCCAGATCCGTCACGCAAACTCTTGTGTCCAAGTGAACAGCACATGTCTTGAGAAGCCACATGCTCATAAAGCCAGGATCATTATAATGTCATGGAACTAAATTCAGATGCCCTTAGGTGTGAAATTAACGACAGCCTGTACAACTGTTCGGGTATTGCAGAAATGCACGATGACTGGGTTGCATCCCTCCACATTTTTTGGAACTTGACCAGCATGTCAGGTTCACGGGAAAAGCTGATCGTTTTTATATTTTCCCTGTTCATAACTCATCTTCATCATCTTCTTCGTCTGATAACCGTGTCCACCGGGCACCCGTTTCGTTCACCTTGAGAACCAAACAAGCTTTACACCTCTCTGAGAAAGAGAAATGAGACTTGTACTTGTATACATATACAGTATATATATATATAGTCTATATATATATATAGCCTATATATATATAGTCGGCACTTCACTGACAAAATAATTATTTTTCTTTTCACTTGTATCTTGCACTTAACACATGTAGCAATACCTATAGAAAGGGGAACTGTGTAAATCACCAGTATTCGTAAAGTGAAATATTCATTTTATCGCTGATTGTTGTTCCATTTTGTACAAAACGATATTGTGTACAGGTTAAAAATGAAACGAAACAAAAACAAAGCCAAAAAAAGGGACGAAAAAGATGAAAACGACAACAGAAGTCTTTTAGATAAACATTATTTATTTTTACTGTTTTGTAATTTAGACACTATACTGTAGCTCCTCTATTGCCAGACTTACTGGAAGTGCCTCTTGGTATAATGTAACATACAGAAAATATATATTGAGATTATTAGAACCTGTCACAAGCTGAACATTGTGGATGTTGTAATGTGAATACAGTTTAATAATACGAGTGAAATACTGTGGTATCGAATGTCTCTGTGTTTTTAATTATTTATTTATTGCTTCGTTGATTTTCACCCCTAATTCAGTCTGGAGGATTTCAACTAAACAAGCTGACGACAAAGGGTAGGCCTACAACTTTTCAAGCTTTTGTGGCTTGAAAATGGCTCCTGACTCAATCAAAGTCAAGGTAAGATCCCACAACCATTATGCCAGGTCAAATTGTTCTATGCACTCAACTTTACCAAGCTCATTTCAATCACTTCAAGTCCAGTACTTCAGTGTTGAAGAACAGAGTTTGACAAATTAGTTGGCGTTCAGCATATTATCGCACATTGTTTGATTGTGTTCTCTAATAATTTAGAGAAAGGACACTTATATAAGTGGATTATGAACAGGGGTTGAGGGACGTGTTGCTTTGAACTCATTAGTTGCGGATTTGTCTAGGGTTTTTTTTTTTTATGCTGACAGCCACAATGTTCTGAATCAGCCCTCTAAATGTCAGCTTTGTAGACGTACCATGAGATAAGTCGTGTCCCAGGCATCCGTGTGCATTTTCTGAAGCTTGAGGTGTGCGTAATTCATATGTGCACATCTCGCTGCATTGCACGGAAGGAAAGTTCACCCCGTAATATATCTCTTCGGAAATCATCAGTGCTTTATTCTCTGTACACGTTACACACACTGACACTGTACGGGTCGTTATTGTGGTTCCTTTCACCACTAGCAAAAATTTACTGTAGCTCAAAATGTGGAGCATGGCACTTTTAAGACCAAGGTCATGGGTTCGATTCAGATGCATGAACTAATAGCATGTATATCTTAAATGCAATGTAAGTTGTTTGCCATAATAAATGTAAATTCTGTTTTCTTAACCACTTATCTATATGCGATTCACAAGGGGCGAAACGTTGGCTACTGTAGGGATCAGAATTTTATTTTTTAATTCAATTCCAAAATATTATTACACGTTTATAGTTTTTCTAATTTAATTTCAAAATTTCATTACACTTTTATAGCATAGCACTTTGAGTAAAAGGTTAAAATTGCAGTGTATGGGACATTTTAGGTTAAAAATAACGGTCCCACTTTATATTAAGTGGCTTTAAGTATTATGTACTTACATTGAACAATTATTAAAATGTATTATTGTGTTCCTGTTGTATTGTAAAACACTTTTGCTGCTATTGAGTGATACGGGTATGGTTAGGGACAGGTGTGGTGGTATGGGTCTGTTTAAGGTGTGAGGGATGGGTCAACTGTGTAATTACAAATGTAATTACATAAAGTAATTATAGCTGTAATTACATGCTGGTATTTCAGCCCATTCTCACTCCCAAGGCGTCACCTAACTGACGCCTTGGGAAGCATTTGGACATGCTTCAATATCTGACGCTTTAGGCGCCCTTTAGCGTCAGTTAGATGACGCCCTAGGATCGCGTGTACCCTACCCCCACCCCACACCTAAACCTAACCGCGTCCTCTAACTGACGCTTTCCTTTAGCGTCAGTTAGATGACGCCGTAGGATCGCGTCATGTAAGTGACGCTAAAGGGCGCCTAAAACGTCAAATATTGAAGCATGGTCAAAGGTGACGCCTTGGGGTGAGAATGCGTTGGGTATTTTTAAAATATAAGTACAATGTAAAAACATGTATGTACACAATAAGTCCATTGTATCAAATTATTAATTTCAATGTAAGTACATAGTACTTAAAGCCACTTAATATAAAGTGGGACCAAAATAACTATTGAGCAAGTTCATTAAAAATTACTTTTTAAAAAGGTCTCATTGCTTTTCCCCGATACACATCGGGTCGGATATCGCGGGAAATGTCAGTTTCACGTCACGTTTGTTTTTACGCAGTTATGTCAAGTGCGTGAACAAGAGAGGAAGTCAGTTGCAGCGCGTGTTCGGAGCGGTGGGAGTTTTCTTTTGGCTAATACAGCAGGCTTTTAAACTACATAACACAATGGATCATTTAAAAAGCAACCACCTGAGGAGTCATCCGTTGTACAAAGAGGCCTCGTTCAGAAGGTTGAAGGTGTATTCCTATTCTAATTGAAATTATGTTGAAGAAACCAGACCAAAAGAAAAAAAAAGAAAAAAACATGTGGCTCAAATGACAATGTGGGTTAAGACATCTTTCACACTTATCCTCTACTCCTGGGAAAATTGCAGATAATCTTGCTTTGGAGAAATGGACAACCTTGAAATGAATCAGCACAAGGCGTGCACAAGATG